AGTCGGGTTTGGTAGAGAAGTGGCAGAAAAGGCAAAGAAAACGCGGGTCTGTTGGATTGCTGGGTTCCCTGTGGAAGAGTAGCAAAGTGAAGGTGACGGAGGGGTGGATTTGAAGTGGCAATTGAGAGGTGGAGTTCCCGGCAGAGGGGAAGGGGACGGTGCTGAGCAGCTGGGATTGAGTGTGTGGGACAACCTGGTAAAAGTAGTGGAGAAATCTGGTGTGTAGAGCTTGGTTATGCTTCTGTGGTGTGAAGGAGGAAGGAGACAGTGAAGACAAAAGTGTGACCAGAAGTAAGGGAGGGCAAAAGATTGTAAGAGGAAAGAGTTCTGTAGGGGAAAGAAAAAAAAAAAAAAACAAACCAGAAAAGTGGTGGAGAAGACAATATGGAATTAAAACCCAGAGTATCCTGGGGCTGTACCCTGCCTGCTGCATCTCCAGCGTGCAGGCACTGACCTCTCCTCAGGGAGCAAAGAGGATCAATTTTTGCCTATGTCTTATCAACAGAAGCCTGGAAAAGCATGGCAGAAAGCTGGCAGTCTCACGCTGTTTTAATTTGTTTATAGTTTATTATCTATTTGTAAAACTGGGGCTACCTTTGTGGTGGTGTTTGTGTATACACGTTGCAGTACTCCTGCTTGACGTGTAGCTGAGAAGCTCAGAGCACAGCAAGTAACTTTATCTTTAGCAAAACCTTTGTGGTCAACCCAGAGAGCAGCTAGTGACAGTAACTTCCTTCAGGCCAGGCTGCAGAATGGGTTACAGGTGGTTCAGTCGTTGCCTTCCATGTCTGTTAGGTCATGGAAGAAGCCTGGGAAATGGTTTTTAGAGTCTTTAGACTGTTTCTCTGACCTTTGTGTGAGTGTTGATGTAGAACCTGCTGTCTTAAACTGGGAAGAAGTTACCAGACTATCTTAAGCTGAAGTTGTTCAGACTTGGTGTAAGCTAGTTGTAAAACCACCAGAGGAGGAGGATTTACATAGGTCAGCTTGCAAGAAAGAGCAGAGCTGCTTCATTTCACTTCTGAATCCATCTCTCCAGAGACCTATCTATGGTGTATTTGAGGTTAAATTGCCTGAGGTTTGGGGATTTTTTTGGTTTGGTTTCAAATCATTTAATACTTTGGGGTTTTTTTTAATATCTCTTTAATCTTAACGAGTGATTCTTTGCCTCATTTAGACACTGAGGATGCCAGTGAGACTGACTTGGCAAAACATGAGGAAGAGGACTTTGTAGAAATGAAAGAACAGTGAGTAACCCATTCCAATCAAAAGCAAGATAGCATTCTGTTCATTTGGTCTCTTTTTAGTTTAGGTTTTTTTTTTTCCATAAAAATTGCCAGTACTTTAGGCCAAGATTGGGGTTTTTAAGTGCCTAGCCCATTGTAATGGCTGACAAGTCCATATACTTGTATTTCATCTTTCCTTGGTTACTTCCTCTGTTCTATATGTATTTAAGAAACTAAATGCTGCTGCTTTTTTTGGATAAAGACACAACTACAAATTTCTGGGAGCTGCTGAGTTTTCCTGCAAATGAATCCTCCTGCAGACAGATCCCTTAATTAAAATTAAAGATCTACTTTAAATAAGCCAAGCCAGAAGCCTGTTAAAATCCCTTAAAGAACAGAATGCCAGTCCTGCCCAAGGAGATGGCACCACTGAAATAATTTCCTGTGGTATTTAGGTGTGTTTGCAGTATTTGTGTTCTTGCTTACTGGCAGGGACCTGTTTTCATACAGGTTGGGAAGACTTGACCTGTGTTAAACCACAGATATTTGGTAAAGGAAACAAAAGTTTCCACCAAGACCAAAAATAGACTTTGGTGTTTTTTTTTTTTTTCAATCATGTCAAGATGAATGTGAGGAAATGTCTTTTGTTTTATACGTAGGGAGCTAACACACAAATACCAAGACTTGATAAAGAGGGAGAATGATTCTGTTGTAAAGTTTGTGGTGTCTGTAGAGCTAAAGAAAAATTAAAATCCTCTGTTACCCTGAACTGTTCCAAAAATAATTTGTGTGCATTCTGAAAATGCTGGGGTGGCAGGGGTTCTAGACAGAATGATGAACCTTTAATCTGAGTTTTATTGAGCCTTTTCATTGTCTTTTGTTGGTTTCCTGAAGTTCCTCTGAAGTTTTAAGTTTCATCTAATCAGGTTGTAACCAAAACAGTGAAATAAACTGTGTGCTTGTTTCTCAAAATGAAGTTGTGTGCTCTCTGCCTTTGTAGGATGTACCAGGACAAGCTGGCCTCTCTGAAGAGGCAGCTGCAGCAGCTGCAGGAAGGTGAGCTTTGAAGCCTTTTTATTCTTCTCAATTTTCAGCACTTTTCAAAGGCTGTAGAAGGATGAGGGTTTTGAAAGATGGACACAGCATCCTGCACTGAGTGCTGGCTTTCAGTGAGTGAAAAATACAGACACTTTGCATCCTTTTTCCCTCTGAACACTTGCAGTGAAGCCTCTGTGTGCTAAAACCTTTCTGAAAAGGAATAGTCTATTTCCAAAAAAAAAAAAAAAAAAAAACCACAAGCAATGTGCTTAACAAAATAAGCAAACTAGAGCTGTAGTTTTCTAGACACCAGTGTTGGTGTTTCAAGTGGTGCATGGCTCCTTGAGAAAATTTTAATACTTGGATTCCCACTGGAATTTTTTCCCCCAACAATTTATTTCAACTAGGTACTCTTCAGGAATACCAAAAAAGAATGAAGAAGCTGGACCAGCAGTACAAAGAGAGGATACGAAATGCAGGTAAGCTGTGTTTCTTTCTGGGATGCTGCACACAGCTTCAATTTAGAGTTTTTATAACACCTGAAGAAAAACGGGGATAATTCTATCCTTTAAAGAAAAGAAGCTGCTGGAGCAGTGGGTTCTTCTGCTTCTGGGGGTGTAGTGCTGGGTTTTTAGAGAGTGCACAAAGCATGACAGGATCTATCTTGATTTTTTTATTTATCAGCATTGGTTGCTGGCTGTTTATGAAACAGCAATAAACAGTTTGAGTATTTGAAACAGCACCAAAAAAAATAAACACAAAAGTAATAAGACAGTAAAAAAAGAGTTGTTTTTATCAGGTGCTGTGCCTGACCACTTTGGCTTGTTCTTTTGTGCAGCTTGTCCCAAACCTTCCCATGCCCTGTTTCCTTCTGTGGGCAGGAATGGGAATTTAGGCTGCATGCTTTCCCAGGGATCTGGTTTGTGCCCTGGAACAATGGACACAGCAGCTCTGCTGCCAAAGCTGCTGCTCTGTGTAGCTGTGCTGCTGAGCACAGCACTGTTCTGTGCTTTGTGTCCTGCTCTGTTCCAGGAGCAAAGGCCCAAGTTAATTTTTCAAGTGGTTAGTGCTCAGCCCTTCTGAGTAGCCTTTATTGAGTTACTTCAGAGAAGTGGCTTGGAAATCAAATCCATTTGCTCACCCTCCCTCTTTATTACTTGTTCTCTTTCCAGTAAGTTCTTATCTTGGATACTGAAGGAGGGTCTTTTATAGAACCAATGGTGTGGAAATAGGAAATGCAGCTGTTCTTCCTTCAGAAAAGTTGGATGACTGCTGTAATGCCTGGGCCATTGCTCCAGAAAACAGGATAGAGAAGCAGGGGCAGTTGTTTGATGGATGATGTGCTTCAATCTTTGAACAAAATAATGCCTTTCTGAAAGTGCTTGGAGTGGTAAAGGATTTGCTTGAGGAGTTTAAGTGAGTTGAACTACTTCTTCATAAGAATCTCTTCCCAGGTGAATTGCACATACACTAGAGCTGCATTCTAGGAGTACTGAACTGTTTTGATAAAATGAACTTAACTGCAAACTTGTGTTTCTGGCTGGCAGAGCAGTGCTGCAGCAAGGTATTTCCACCACAGGAGGGCAGAGGGTGATAACTTTCAATTTTATGATAAAAAAAAAAAAAAAATCCAGCTGCCTAGTGCTACAGGAGGAATGGGCTTTTATGTTTATCCTTCCCCTGTTGAGGTTTTGGGCCTGTGGGGGCTATTTTTTTAAGATTCACAGATATTAAAGCAGCAGTTTAACTCTACCTGTGGTTGATTACCTCCATAATACTGCTTTTACACTCAATTGGTAGAGACCTTTGCAAACCAAGTGTGACTGATGTTGGCCATTATCATCTTTGGGGTCTGTTTTGTTGGGGTTTTTTTAATTAAAAAAATCACAGTAGTACAGTGTTGCTGCTACAGCATTCTCTGAAATGTATTTGAAGCCTGGGATCTTTACAGAAGCTTTTATGTCAGTGTTGCCAAAGCTCAATATGCTGGTGCAGTATGGTGACTTGAGGACTGAGCAGGTGCCTTACGTTGCTTTTCTTGCTGCTGTCTTGAGTGAAAACTTTGTTTTGGGCATTACATCCTGAGAAAATACAAGAAGGGTCCCATCCTGCTTAATTTCAAGTTGTTAGGAGTTGCAAACCTCAGTAGCAGGACTCCAAGTCAGATCATGGATGAGGCAAATGATTTCTGGAACTCATCACTGCCATGTGATGGGACATACTCTGCAGTGATAGGTAACAATTCCCTTGCTTGTTTTCTCAGGTGTAAACAGCCTGAAATCAGAGGTGTGAGTTGAGTAGATGTCTTCTAACAGCTGCAGGATTCTTTCTGAACCAGTCAATTCGGAAATGAATGGATTGTAATTAAAGTGGGAGAAAAATGGTCTACATGCTTAATACTCCCAGGAATAGTAGCTAAACTGAATAGTATGTGATACTGCTTTGTGAGCCTTGCAAATCTGCCTGACAGTCTGCAGAAAACTATGTATTTTTGTGGAATTTTTTCATAGCTACCTTATTTTCAGTGTAGAACTGTGATGTGAGAGTAGAGGTTGGCTGAATACATACACTGGTTCACTGCAATACTCAATTATTTAAAATGTTGGGGAAGTAATTCTGTGCATCTTTGAAGATAATGAATTAAGGCTTTCTTGTCTTTCAGAACTGTTCCTCCAGCTGGAAGTAAGTATTCTTAATTCCTCAAAATATATTTTATGAACTAGATGGAAGAAGTATAAACCTACTGCTTCATCAATGAGTACTTGTCTTTAAGCCTTCTGGGAAAACAAGCACATTTTCTTCCTTTAGCCAATGTGGTTACCCTTGAGTAATACTGCTGGTATTACTTCAAATAACTTCTGTATTTTATCATTAAGATAGAATTAAAGGCAATACTTGCTCTTGGGCTGTGGTGTGCTGCCTGTGCCTTTGCCTTGTTTTATGAGGTTGTTTAAGGTAATAAATGACAATGCTCTTTATAAACCTAAACTCTCTGTGACAGACTTGATAAAGTAGGCAACATTAAAATGCTTTTTAAAACTCATGAATTATTTTGCCAGTATAGTGGCTTGCTTAGTCATTTTTAGATGGTTTTCTGTTTAATTATCAATATTGATCTTTAGAACTGCTTACAGTTTTGAACTGAAAAGCTGATCAATACAGCAGCTGAAAGAGATACCCTTCACTTGAGTCATTGCTTCCTTAGTGAACCTTCTTGTTCTTTTGGCTTCCATCAGACAGATCAGGTGGAAAAAAATTATGTCAAGGAAAAGAAGGCAGCAGCAAAAGAGTTTGAAGATAAGAAAATTGAACTTAAGGAAAATTTGATTGCGGAGTTGGAAGAGAAAAAGAAGATGATTGAGAATGAAAAGCTAACCATGGAATTAACAGGAGGTAAAACCAAGATTTGTCTTTCCCACTTTGCTACTGCTTAGAAAGAAGAGATATAAAGGTGGCAGTGCTGCTTTATACAGAACAGCTGGTGTGAAGGCTTTACAGCTTTCCAGATACTACAACGTAGAACACAAGTTGGTGGTCTTTTAATGGAAAAAGCAGTTCTTAATCAGATTCAGTGACCTGAGTTATTAACACAATGCCACAATGTCAACCTGTCAGGTGCCAGCCTGTAAAGGTTGTGTCTTTTTTTCTCTAGTAATATGGTCAAGGAGTTGTAGAAAGGCAAACAGTAAAGTTTGAAATAGGCTACTTAAAGCCAGAAAAATAGATTTGTGAGCTACATTTGTGTGCAAATTCTGGAAAATGGACTTGAAATGGATGGATTTCTTTCACGAGACCAGTTACCTTTGATGCCCTGGCAATGCCCTTTGCAATAGGGCACACAGTAGTGTGTGTACTAGAGGGGTAATTAGCCACCCTCATAAATCAGGTTGCTGTGATACTGAACCAAAAGTCTAATTTGGTTCTCTCTTTATGAGCAGCTCCCTCACATCTCACTTCATGGACAGATAGTGTTGGTTGTGTCGCTGATGCCTGTCCATGAGCTAGACCTTTTATGTTTCTTAAATAGTCTCTACAGAAATTATGTAAGCTAATAATTTAATTAGTGTTCAGAAGTGAGAATTAAAGCCTGTTTGGACTTATTCAAGAGTGTTTTTGGGTTTGTACAAATTGTTAGGGCTAATCTGGTGTGACAAACAGTTTGAGCTATGCAGCTTCCCTGATTTTATTTTTTTTTTTTTTTTTTTTTAGATGAAGTCTAGTCTGATCTTACAAGCTGTCCCTTAGCCTTAACTTTCCTGGTTTTATCCTATGCCTCTGTCTGTTCACTACTAAGTTGGGGTACACTAGGAATCTTGTAAGCAAGTATTTGTTAGTGGATCAGGATCCAGCTAGATCTTGCCTTTGGAAGTCTGCATACCAATGTTCTAGGAGTCTGAAGGAATCCAATTCTTCTATCAGCTGTTCACATCAGGATTTGGAATTGCAGAGTTGAAGGGAAAAAGAAGTTGAGGAGAGGTAAAAAGAAGTATTTAGTAGTCTGATTTGGGGACCACATGAATCTTCTTCAGGGAAACGTGTGTTCCCATTGTCGTGTGTCCTGAAGAGATGAGCTGGTTGGTCTGATACAACTCTGGGCAGAAGCATGTGAGTGACTGGAGAAGGATCCACCCTGTGTGTCAGCCTGCCCTCCCTTATCTCCTTCTTTCCAGCCTAGCAGAAGTGCAGTGTGATCTCTTTAGAAGTTATGGATTGTGTTGTGAGCATGTGCTGCTGGCTGGGAAATAAGAGCACTGAACTGCTGTGGACCTGATGGGTTTTAACTGTTGTGTTGTGTGGATCTGAACCATTAGCCTGAAATGCAGTCTTCCATGAGGCTTAAGTCTGTTGGTGCTTTAGCAGCTCTTCAAAATTTCCTTTATAAAGTTTTCATGGATCTCTCAAGAATTGTGAAGTTCTTCAAATGTTTAACAGTAAATATAAGAGACTCTCAAACTGCTGCTTTTTTTTCCCTGTGAACTTATTTGGTGCCCACTTTCAGCTGACCTGTCACAAGTGTAAGATCCAGGATGCTAAGACAGAGAAAATAAAAATCTCCCTGCCTTATTTCCATCTTAAGCAATGTAGATAACAGCTCTTTGACATCTGAAACTAATTTTTAAAAAGGAGAAGCAGCCTCCTTGACTTGGCTGCACATCTCCTTGAGTAAATACTTCAAACCAAAATGATCTACAAGGCTCTTGTAGATCAGTGTTACATGGGAGGAAAGGTTTGGATTCAACACAGAAGTTAAGGTTTTACTGTCTTCAGGGCTGTTAAAGTTCAATGTTTTTCAAATTCAGCTTAGAATCCTAGAGATAAGGTTTCTTTTGACAAACACTTGGTGGGTGGCACTTTTTCTTAAGCTTTTATCATATTCTGTGTTCCCTTGATGTGCAGCATGATCATCCTTGTTCACCCTTGAGATGAGGAGAAAAGTAATTTGGTGTGTTTTGACCAGGCATAACTGCTCAAGATTTCAGCATTTAGAGGGAGCCAAAGAGTCACCAGAGACTCAAGTGCTACCTAGGGTGTGATTCAGGTGTGCTTGAAGATGAGCAAATAATTCTCAGAACATAAAAAGAGAGCTGAAATGATGAGTTTAGCATTTAAGATGTAGTCTCTTGGTTGCCAGTTCAAGATCTCTTCATAAATTAAGGAATGATTTGTGAGAGTTTAAGTAGTTCAGTTAAGACTACCTGTAGACATTTGGACAAACTAATTTCACATAATTATTCAGTGATGAGACTTGTTTCAGTTTTACACAGATTTTTTTCTTTTCCCCAGTGCATATGCTACAATTTATTTCCTGTCAACTGCCGCTCTGCATGTTATTAATTGGGTTCATTTAATTAATCATAACTTGAAACATTTTTAGATAATCTGAATTTACTATTTGTGTTGAAAATTACTGCAGCAGACTTCTGTCAGTCTTGAATGCAGTGATTATCTGTGTTCAACACAGCTATTTGTCTAGCTGGAAGGCAAGAAAAAGAGCAACTGATCTGTAGCTGGTATTCTACATGCTATTAACTACCCAAGTGTTGTTAGCAAAGAAATCCCTGAGCTTTGCCTTCTAAATCATCTGTTCAAAAGGAGATAGCATTAAAGGAATTTGCCTGAATCCTTGTAGCATGGTTGTGGTTGTTATCTGTACCTGAAGCAGCTGGAATACACCCCCAGAGCAACTGTGCCACTTCCAGGCAGGGAAAGCTGTAACCATGGCACTGCAGCACTGTCACTGAACAGCGACCCAGCGTGACAGAGAGCTGCTACTCTGGCAGCAGTTCCAGCCTGGATACTAGAAGCTGTCACCAAAAAAAAAAAATCCAATTTTCTGTATGAAAGAGGAAAGATTATTTACCTGGTGCCTTGTAAGAAAGCTGCTGCTTCTTACTCCTTTTCCTCTGGTCTTATCAGCTCTCCAACTTCATTACTCTACAGATTCAATGGAAGTGAAGCCCATTATGACAAGGAAACTGAGGCGACGACCAAATGATCCAGTTCCAATCCCAGACAAGAGGAGGAAACCTGCCCCTGATATCCTTTTACAGAGTCATTGGAGGGCTATTGTGCTGGAAGCCAGTGTGCTACCTGCTCCTGTGCTGTTTTCTACAGCAAGGAAAGTAAAATGAGGTGCTAGGATCAGATTTTGATCTAGGAAATACTAAAGCACAATTTGTCTTCTATAATGCATGCTAAACTAATGTAACATGACTGACCTTTGGAGATCCCTCAGTATCCTAACGAACTTCAAGTGTTGTGAGATAACTTATTGATTTTTATTATCAGTGAGAATGGTTTGAATTCTTCAGGCAATTTTTTTTCACAAAGGAAAAAAACTTTACAAGAACATTCTATATAAATGCCTAGGTAATTGATTCCATAGATAGTAAATGGCTTTTTATGTGATCCAAAGCTTTTCTCATTTTGAGGTGTGACAAAACATTTGTCAGAAACATCATATTTGTCATATCAAACTAGTTTTTCCATTTCAGATAAAAGCTTCAGATCTCTAATCCAGAGAGATGCACAGCAAAAGCAAGGAGTGCTAGATTTGTTCTTTGAATACAAAAGATGAAAATCCATCTTGGTTTTATATATCACACGAGAGAGAAAAAAAACTTATCCCTTCTTTTCTGCCGTGTTGCATGTTTCTTATAATTAAAATGTTCCTTGGCTTCTGGAAATATGTTTTTAGCTCTTCTGTGATGATAGGTGCTTTTTCTATGTGTATATCAAATTTTCTTGGGAAGGAAGGCAGTGGTATTTGCTTTGCAGAGGCTTATTATTAGGTTTCAAACTTGTATGGCTTAAATCGGATTTAAGAAAAACCTTACCTTGCAGTTCTGAGTGACTCACATCTTCTGCAGGCAATATCAAACTTGAACTTACAGAGTTTATTCAATGGTCACAAGCATCTCCAGTTTTAATTAACCTCTTTCTGGTTAGAGATTCTGCTCACTCTTTCAGGGAGAAAAAAAATCATTTATTAGTGCACCTATCTCATCCAAAATAAATGAGTTTCATACTGAACATGACCTACTAATTGGGCATGATATGGCAGCCACTGTATGAAACTCTGCCTTCCCTCACTGGGGAGAGGATTAAAGTCCATCAGAACTAAAATCCTTAAAATGCAGCCTGGAAATTGTTAACTTTAATACTTCGGATGCTTTTGAATTAACAGCTTTTTGAAGAACCACTGGAAAATTCAAGCTGGAGTGGGGGTCCACAGCTTTGGGTGTTGTTTTCCTTCTGTGTACTTAGGTTTTTCTGCTGTGGAAGTGACAGAGGAGCAGCAGAAAAAGGAGGTAGGAAGATGCAGTAGTAAAACTACACACAATGATAGTGAAGCTCTCATAGGGCTGTCATACACTAACTTCTGTGTTCTGAGATTTTGGGTTTTCACATGAAGATAGGCTCTTAGTGATCCTCAGTCACATAAGGATGTGTTTTGTGCCTCCAGCTTGATTTTTCTGTTTGTTTGTTTGTTTTCCTTTGTGGGGCTTTCCTCCTATTCTCCTTGTCTCTCTCTTCCTGCTTACTGAGCTGCAAAACGATGAGTTTCTTTGTTTCTTTTCCTAGGCTTGGGTGAGATTTGGCCTCGTTGTACAAATATGAAGTGAGTCTGTTCTGTTTCAGCTCCCAGATTTTCTACAGAAATGCAAGATGAAAACCACTGAAAACGCTTGTGCTTGATGCCTCCATGAAGTAAATGTCAATGCACTAAAAGTTTTTCACTGATGGTTATTTTTGGATAAGTTAAAATGATTTTACACTCTATTTGCTGCTAAATATGAGGCTTTGTGGACACAGACTTGTATTAATTCATATGACAAAAAAAGCTCAAGTATGACACTTCCTAAAATCTTACACAACTTTATAGAAACATCTTGGCTTACGTTTAGTCAAGTGAAGTATCATTGACCTTTAAATTTTAGCCTTGCTTGTCAAGACCTTATGAGAACCTTAATTCTGAATACCTCAGCTCAATTATTTGTTGACTGATGAACAAATAATGGAGGACCTGAGGACACTGAATAAGGTAGGGATTATTGCTCTTTATTTTAAAGAGAAATCTAATGCTTCCCCTGAAAAGAACAGGGCTCTCTGGTTTATGTTCCTTTTTGAGAAGTGGGACTGTTTCATCCCAGTAGGCTTTCTGAAGTAACACAATAGAAGATCTATCGAGGTGTTATCTCCTTTTTATTTTAACAGGTTTAATTAACCTAATTAAAATGACTATCATCTAAAAATGTTGCCTTTTGTCTGAACCAAGCAATGAGCTGTCTTACAGAGTTTCTTCCCCCGCATGCCTGAACAGATGTTAAGGTGTTTTTCTGAGAGATCACAGGCTGCCTTTAATTTAGGCCATAGCATGGCATTGGTTTTCTAGTGTTTTGGGGTTTTTTTTTGTTGCAACACTTCAGCAAACTGGATGGAGTGTACTAGATAGGGTGCAGTTTTTCTGGGTTTGGTTAACCTGTTGCTTTTTTGCTCAACATTTTAAGGCTATATATCCATATCTAATTTTTTATAGAGACTACTCATTAAGGCTTTTAAGGATGGTTGTGGAACATGGGTTTTATGTCAGCTCTTGAGGTGTCTGTAACAATTTCTCTTGGATTTATTTTACATTGGATCATGCTCAAAAATAGAGTGTTAGATGGGTTTGGGATTGACTTGTTCTAGTAGATGATCTGAATGCTCTAAAGCTCAAATTAGTACACTTGCATGGTGATACTGGTTAGCCACACCTTTGGCTTCTCAGAGCATGCTGTTCTGGTTATGTGATATGTTGTTTCATAATTATTTAAAAAGAGAAGCATTTAGAGCATGGAAAGCAAGACTATCTGAAACTATTACTGCAGACTTCCATGGCTGGTGTCAGATCTCTAACACTTCTCTGCTCTCTTTCCATGTAGCTCAAATCACCCAAGAGACCAGGTGAGTTAACACTTGCACTGCGACCTGTTCAGTGATGCTGTTTTGAACAGAATTCTATTGTAAACCGACTTTATAATTGCTGACTGTGTAATTTGACTGTGTAATTGCTGACCTTGTAATTTGACTGTATAATTCTTTTGACTGTAATTGCTGTTCTGTGTGTAGCTGCTGCAGGGAATGTGTGAAGCCTCTTCCTCTGTGTGGAAGTTTGTTGGGGGTGGGGAGGGACTCACAGGCATCTTTGTTGTCTGAAACATTTGGGCATGGGACAATCTTAACTGTGTGGAGATGTTTTTCCATTATATTCAGCTGCATCTGAGCAGCTTGCCTGCTTGTCAGGTAGATGGAAGAATCAAGCACTTAAAGGTTTTCGTGCCTTCAACTCTCTAGATGTGTCTGCACACTTTATTTCAAGACAGAGTGGTAGTAACTTGCCTAACTGACCCTATTTAACTACTTCAGAATTAAAATCAAGTACAGACTGTGTCACCTACCTGTCAAGATTTTTTCAGATAAATGTTCTATTTTAGTGAATGTTATCCTTTGTACATTCAAGGTAAAGGGTGAATTATTTGTCTCAATAGAGTATTTTTCTCATGTGTGGTGGACATGTGCTGCCCTTTAAATGCAATCTCTCTCCTGTTCTCAGCCTCTCCCTCCTCTCCTGAACACCTCCCAGCTACACCAGCAGAGTCTCCAGCACAGCGGTTTGAAGCCCGGATAGAAGATGGGAAACTCTACTATGATAAAAGATGGTAAGTCCTGGCAGATTTCTGGTTTCAGTTAGTCCGAGTGTTGTGTAGTGAGGAGACTGAGACTGCAGAGAAAAACTGCTTTGACAGAAGAACTCGAGGACAAAATGTTTTTGGGGAGAGGTTGCTGCTGCCTCCAAGGACTAATCCTCATGCCTTTGGCAAATCAGAAGTAGCTACTGGCTCGAATAAAAGGAGGCTTAAATCTTTTCTATGGAGGCAGTGGTGCACACTGTGACACTTGGGAGAGGTTGTTGTCAAGCCTAATGTTAGGTCAGAGAGCCAGGCACAGTGTGATGTAGCTGTGAAACTGGTCAGCTGGGATACAGGCACTCTGACTGCTGGATTCACAGTCCTGGTGCTTGGCTTTGGAGGATGCTGGCCCATTGTTCCACAAGGTGGCAGAAGAAATGTCGTGCACCAGATGAGCAGAATGAAAAATGTTTCTAATAAATCCAAATAACCTTTAAAGATCAAACCCACACGGGAGAAGCAACTTTGGAATTACTGATTGGATTTAGCTCTCTTAAGTGTTATGGGCATATAGCTCTGCAAGCTTCACAAAACACAAGGAAAATATCAAATTTTGCAGAGAAATCTTAGTAGGTCTTACACTTAATCCGTGTGACGTGCACAACTGGATAATCAAGGGGGCAATCTAGAACTCCTTGAGCAGGAAGCAATTTGCAAGTCACATGCTTATTTGTAGCCTGCTTTGGTGTTCTGGTGGCTCAAAATAACAAGTGAAGAGGTTGCAATTTTATCATGGAAAATGACAGGGGTGAAGCACATGTTGTACACAACAGCCATCTCCAACAGCTGGTCAGTTTTTCCTTTTCTATTGGTCTTCTGACAGTGAAGTTTCATCGTGGGTTCAGTGTATACAGCTTTGATAAAAGCTGCTGCCTGGAGCTTCAGCTTCATGGGAGCATGAAGCAGGCATGAACAGAACAGGCCACTTTGTCATTTCACAAATAAGTTCTTTTTTTCCCTTTAGTAACTTTTTTGTGTAAAGTGGCTATCCTCTAGAATATATTTGGATGAATAAACTGTTCCTCAGAATTTTGAAGCATCTCTCTGGAGTAATCTGTCAGTAAAGCTCCCACCAAACCAGGGAGAGCTTCCGTGAGCCCAGCTGAATCTCTTGAAAGCACAGGCTCTCTGGAGGGTATCTAGCTGGGACAGGAAACACTTAACAGATACTGTTATATGCTGAATTCAAGTGTCATGTGGATCTCACTGTCAGGAATTCCAGCTGTTCCCTTTCCTGTCTTCCTTGTTCTTACACTGTTTTAAGATAAGTATTTTACATTTTTTTGGCTGTAATAGTCCTGCTTAGATTATTTATTTATTTATTTTATTGCTAGTAATAGTATTTGTGCAAAGTAGCTGGTATTTTAAAATGCTGAAGTAACTCCTGATAGTGGGAGGGTAATTTTTTCTAAGGTGTACTGAGGCTGCAGCTGCTGGCATGCACCAGAAATAATAAAACTGGCAGCTCAGGAGTGACTACGTTCTCCAGTTCCTGACAGCAGCCATGAAGGACAATGATCTCAAAACTGTGAGTGTTTAGGGCTAGTTATGGATTCCCTAAGGTCTTGCAGAGATTTTTCCAAACATGCCTTTAAAGTGGAGGCTTTGTATAGGGAGTTTCAGATGAATGTGGAATTAGACTTCAGGTTTTTATACTCTCTCAATTTGCTCTTTACACACTACCCCAGTCAGATCCTAAAATAGTTTGTTGTAAAACGACCATATTTTTGCTTTTAGCTTTCTGTTTACAATAATGCAGAGTGATTTCTTTCAATCTTCTGACAGAGATACAGTGAAAAAATCCTAGCCTTTCAGCAAAATATTTTGTAGCAGAAAGTGGAATCATTTCTGCTTGTTTCACTTGTGTACTGCAGAGCAAGAGTTGTTTGGCACTTTCCTTCTCTTGAAAGCCAACTTAAATTTCATTGCATTTCTTATCTGAAGTATTTCCCTGAGTTCTACCCCTCTGTTCCCCTGTGGATATATAGACCTAGCAGAAGGCTGAATGTGTAACTGAGAGGTACCAGCTTACTGTGGCTTCAGCTGACTCATGTCTCTTTGTGCCACTCTTCCATGAAGAAGTGCTGAACTAACTTGTTGCCTTGTCTAGATTTACCTTACACAGATCTACTGATGGATGGTAACGTGTGGTGTGAAATCCAGGGGCTGAAGCCAGCTTCCTGTGTATCATTAGCTTGGGAATTCACTGATAATCAAAAATGGGGTAGAAAGAGCTCTGAGTGGAAAAATGATTTCATTATCTGTGCAGGCACAGGTATCACTTGAGAGCTGGGATGTGCAGCAGTATCTTCTGCACTGGGAATTCTCAGTAGTTACTTGGCATGGTAGGGCACTGCTGGACTGAGATTTTGATGTCGTCTTTTAGTGAAGTCTGGTTTGTAGTTGTTCCTTTATATCAATGGATGATCATTTTGGGCTCAGTAAATAGATTTTTGACTTGGATCATTGCTGCTATTGCCTTGCCCTGGACTCACTGACACATTTTCTGTTAACATAAAGGAGGAGCAGTAATAGTTAGGCACAAGTATCTGAAGATTGCAGGATCTGGGGTTTTTTGTTAGCTCAGCCAGCCTGTGGGTAATTAGTATGTTTGGAAGGCTGACACTGTGAGTTCTGTTACTGGCAAGCAGCATGAACACTCGGAGTACACAAGCCAGTAAGAAGAGACTGTGGAATAAACTCTTGGAAGATTTCCATATTTACAGTATGGTTGTTGTAGAAATAAGTAAAGATTATGCAAATCAGTGTGTTTTGACAAATGGCTGTCAGCCAATCAGACTGCAGGGACCTGCATACTGAGTAGTTACTGAGAGAGTCTCAGTGCAGTGATTCTGCAGCTTGGATTGCCCAGTTCTATATGAAGTCCATCATGATTAGGGTAAAGGTGGAAATATGTTTTTATAACTATAAAACATTCTGTTGCTCTCTTGATTAAGTTCATTTACTTAAAACTAACCTGTTTCAATATAATTAGTTCTGCCTGTGGAACTCTCCTAGGCAGAACAACCATAATCTGGGGAGTTTTGTCTAGCACACTTTGCAGCACTTAGCAGAAACATGTTCTGCAAAGAAGGCAAGACCATGAAATCGAGCAGTTCAGAGTTATGAATTTCAATGTTTTTGCTTTGTCCTATGCAAGATGCACTAAAAATATGACTAAATTAGGATCTGAAGGCAGGGAAAAGATGGATATGCTTCAACACAGCCTCCTCATGGCAGGTGTAGACAATGTCTTACAGAGTCAGTCACTCATCACTTACCATTTTGGGTATTTTCACAAAAACAATATTAGAAAATTGAGGTCTCTGTTTAAACAATTGACAGGTTGCACCAATTGAGTGCAATTCACTTTGGTGGTGCACTAGTAACTTTGTATGGAGGCATGTGAACAACTGGAGTATCTGTTATTTGCTCTGTCACATTTTATCAGACACAATACAGAGCTGCCTTCTAAAATCAGCCCCATGTCTCACGTATGAAAGGCTAGTTTGACTAACTCTTGAAACGGGCTTGTTGTCAGTCAGTGTTCTCCTCTCTTGGGGCTTAGTACTCTGCCTCTCCTTTCTGGTATGAAATCTGTTTTCAGTAATCTTGGTACAGAATTGTATGTGAATTGGGAGAGCTTCATGCATTCTGGAGCCTCATTTCAATGCACAGTGTGTGTGTAGATCCAGACCACCTGCTGTGTTGGCAAAGATAGGGAAGTTGGTGTGGAAGGAAAAAGGGTGGACTTCACCTCTATTCCATCCTAATGCTTGTAGAATCCTAGCATTATCTTACATTTCATTTCTCAGTCTTTGGACAGCTAATTGTTTCATGTGTGTGTTTGTAATTCTTTTTGCAGGTACCACAAGAGTCAGGCTATTTACCTGGAGTCCAAAGAGAACACTAAGATCAGCTGTGTGATCAGTTCTGTGGGTGCCAACGAGGTACGTGGGCTGTGGTGTTTTTCGTGGCAGTGGGGAAGGCCGTGGGTAGACAGCTCTCTGGTAAGGACTAAGAGGATATCAGCACTACTTTCAGAAAGATGTAGTTGTCTGGTGTCTAAGGAAGACAAATTAAAGATAAAAATGAGTAGAGATTTCTTCTTGAGCCAGATCTGAGGTGGGAAGAGACTTGTCGTGTTTATAAAGAATGTTCCTGCCTTTTGCAAGTAGTATTTTGGCAGGCAGAAAACATGGGGTGAACTGATGTGATGCAGCTCATTGGCACTGCATTCCTATGTTCCATTATGTCAAGAAAGTACATACAGTTATTAATGAAAAATGGGGAAAATAAAAATCCCATTGCAAATTCAGAAGAGAGAAAATTTTGTCACCAAATTTAGCTGTTACACAGGGAGACAATTCTTCCTGCTAAGTGGAGGACATGGGTGAAGTAAGCTGGCAGCATTCATCACCAACTTGGGAGACAAGGCAGGTGAGACATCTGTCTGAGACAATCTCCTTGTGGCTAATGACTAAGGCTTAGAGAAGGGGGTGAGGAGAGGTGTGTGCTGATTGATGTGAATCTGGCTGGCAATAAGTGCTCGAGCAGCACATCTGTTGGGCAGAGGGAGCAGCTTGTTCTTTGCTTGCTGATTCCAGACCCTGCCAGGAGAGAAATGACTGACTTGCATGGACTCTTCAGTCAGCCAATAAAGTAACTTTCATTTGTTCTGCCAGCAAAGGGAAAATATTTTATTTTCAACAAAATGAATTGCATATGGGGTATGTTTTGTGTCACAAATATTCCCCTTGCAGTAAGAGTTGTTGCACTGAATGGTTGCTTATTTAGATGAAGTGATAGTAGCAGCATGCTAATGGATACATTTAATCAAATAGCAGTGCTATATTTAAGTTACTATTGTTTAAAACTCAATCATTTGGGAGCATCTTACCTGAAGCCTGAGGGAAATGAGGTCCGTTAATTATTATTGCATGAATTGCACTTTCAATTGAGACAGGAGGTGTAGTTTGGGTTTTGTGGGGTTTTTTTTGAGAGGAACAGCACATGTTTGCCCTGTGATGGTTCATTGCAACAGTATAAAGAATAAAAAAGTCTTAACAGAATCCTGAAATGAGAAGGTATTCTCTTAGAGTACACTGTGCCCATCTCAGATTTCATCTCACATGGTCCAGCCCATGGTATTGCAAAAAGAAGTCGAGTTATTCAAAGCAGCTTTACTGAAAATACTTGCTGGTGGGGAGACACTGTGTATTTCCATCCATGCTCAAAGGGAAAAGACTTCAGCTAAGAAATACTAGAGGTATTAGGGGATGCAGCTGCCTTCTTGTGGCTGGGCAAAGGAAGCAGCTCACAGTGTATCAGAGGCATCTTTGTTCCTGCAAAGGTCTGAATCAGTTTTCTTAAACTGGATTTGAGTTCTGTAACTGGCTGGGGGCCTCTCCAACAGTCTGAGCTGTGAGGATCCCCCTTCAAAACCAAAAATATCTTCCCAGGCCTCAGCTTTTTAAGACTTGGTGATGCTTAGGTCTAAACAGAATATAATTCTATCACTTTTGATGTGATTTCCTTGGAAACTGTGCATCAAATGCTATCAAATGTGGAAATCATTGGCCGTGTGCATGGAACAAATTCAGTCATTTGCATTCTGACAACAATAAACTCTGCAGTACGTGCAGGGAAGCTTTTTATTCCCATGGGTTTATTCAGCAATCTCAGTTTGGAAATTGAAAAAAGGAGGGAACTTATTTTTCTTCTACAGTCTAGGAATAAAAAAACAATTCAAAGATGGATTTTAGTTTCTATTTACTATCCCCTTCAGTTCTTTAAAATTAATAGATGTTACCTTCTGACTGCAAAATACGTTGTATGTCTAAACCAGCAGCTTTAAGTTGAGAACACTTGGTGCTTTTATTTTTCTGAACTGTGGCACATTTTAGCCTTAATAAGTAATTTTGATATTGTGATCCTGTAAAATTGAATTTTAATCTTCTTCCAAATAGAACTTAACAAAGCAGCTAACTTTGGCAAAACAAATGCACCATTCAGCATGTTGGGATAGTATAAAACTGTACGTGTGTGTTCTGTGAAGTTGCTCAGAGTTTGTAGATTTAAGAATCTTTGGAGGGTTAGTAAAGCACCAAATTCTTGAAACTTGCAGTGGAGAGATAGAATCCACCTTCATTGATAATCAATTGGTGTAGAGAAATAACTCAAGTACACATGCAAGCAAATATTACATTTATTTTATATTGAGGGCTTGTACTAGTAAAGTCGATTAATAATTAAAACAGAGTTAAATCATGACAGGCCTGTAGCTAGTGTGGTATCTAAAAAACCCAATGTTTTGGATAAATCACAACTCACCACTAACTTTACAGTCTTTTGCAGTAGGCAGGATTGGACTTGTCTAGTCTAGTACTAGACTACTAATACTGCTACTAGTACTTAGTAGGAGCTTGATAACTCTTATTTTCCATGCGCTTATGTAGATATGTTTAAATGCACTAGAATGGTAAAATGCAGAGGAGTTTTCACTCAGATTTGATCTTTAACGTGTAGGTATTTGGGTATAAAGTTCTTGAAAGTGATTTTTGTTTTTTAAAAATGGAGTGGCTGGCTCCATGGCAGCAATTTGTCCTTTGTAACAAACTGTGTTGGTAACTTGTGTGAATTCTTCCATGCTGGTGTTTAAAAAAGAGACCCTTGTATCTTCAGATACAATTTAATACATTGTGAAAAATGCTTCACTGAACAAAATCAGAATAAGCTTTTCATTTGACTAATAGCTACTTGTCTGGGCAAATCTCAGGGTAGGTAATTTTATGATCTGTGGATCTATAGAGACTTACTCTTGATTAGATAAAGCTTAGTGCCAGAGTTCTGCTGGAAGCTGTAGCAGAAGGAAGCTTGCTTTCCTGATGATGCTTGGAAAGGGTCATTTTTCTTGATGACTGTTTTGAGCAGGAAGCTAAGGGGGTAAAGCTAGAAACCCTATTTCATTTTCTCTTTGGGTTGCAAACACCTAATGTCAGGAGGGAGAAGGGATTAAGCTAAATCATCTGTGCACCCTGAGTAGCAGAGACGTTCAGAGCTGGCAATACAAATACATGGACTTATTTGTCTGTGTTTTACTCACTGTGGGTTTTGTCTTTTTCTCCCCAATATATCTCCCTGTCCCTTTTTGTTTTTGTTGCATGCAGATCTGGGTGAGGAAGACCAGTGACAGCACAAAGATGAGAATCTACCTGGGCCAGCTGCAGCGAGGTGTGTTTGTCATTCGCCGACGATCAGCTGCATGACTGGATGATCTTCCTGGGTCTTTGGGGTTTTTTTAAACCAATAGACAAACCTCTAACAGGGAATGGCAGAGTCTGTTCACTCACCTTAGCAGCAGACAACACTGCCATGACTTCTTCTGAAACAGTTTGTGGCTGGCCACATAATCCCCAGTAGTCCTTAAACCTTTAGTGATACCCAAGCACTGCCCTGGACTGTTTCTGGATTTTGCATCAAGCTTCTGTATGCTTTCTTTGTATTTTGGGTGACTATTTAAGAAGACTTTGCACCATACCTTTTTCATCGTTGTTTCACAGTGCATAGATGGGACTCATGTTGAAAACAACTTTTGTATTTTGAATCAGCCCAGTGGAAGAAGCTTTGCTTGTCAAGACCTGAGGTTATTCATTCTTTTGAGGTTTGTTTTCCTGCAAGGCTCAAGATGTTGGGCAAAAGGAGTTTAATCTTGCCAGCCTCCAGCTGCAGCAGAGAGATGCATCTGTAATACCTGATACACGACATCAGCTTTGTTGGATGAACTGTTTAAAGTCTTGAGCACTGAGGCTTTTTTGGTAGCTTAGACGCTGCTGAAAATCCAGTTGATTTTGATGTTGTTAAGCAGTCACACGTGGTTAATCAGAAGCTTCCATTTTTCTCCACATTAAAAAACCCTTCAATGAACAAGCAAAGAGTGCTTGCTGAAGTAATTTCCTGAAACAGGTAGATGAGTATAAACCAAAGGATTAATTAGCTGGACTTGGCAGAGACCATATGAACTACATGTCCAAGTATAACCTCTCACATGTAGAGAGTCAAAAGGTAAATTGCACTTTCTTTGCTGAAGCTTAGAGTCATGCTGGAATCCTGCTGACTGAAGATTCTGGATCTGTTGTGTCTTTCAAGGAAGCTTAGCACAGAGTAGAAAGCAGGATTTATATACTTGTTGTGTAGAGTTGGAACCTTCATTCCCTATAATGTCATGCACAGGTTTCCCTTTGAAGGGTATTTTAATCACTGGAGATAACTCTGGGCTTCTACACTTGCCCAGCAAATAGCACAAGTGAAAATGCTCAAGTGGTGACGTAAGTATACTCCCTCCCCAGATGTTTAAAGATCTGACTGGCATTCCTTTAATGTTCCCACTCTTGCTGATGGCTGAAACCACCAATACCACGTGTGACAGCTTTGGTGTGAACCATGCAGCGTGCTGGCAATGCTGTCAGATCCTTGCCTTCTGTGCAGGAGAACTGTGCTCCTCTGGATTCCTGGACAAAACGTTATTTCTGCCTTTATCAGTATCTGTCCCTTTGAGGCATCTTTTGTGTTTGCTGTTGAACTGCCTTCTTGTTCAGCATCAGTCGAGCCTTTCTTTCATACCTGGATAAATGGAGTATTTTAAATGACTGTCTCTGTTTCTTTTACTTCCTGCAGTTGGGTGGCAGTCACATCCCAGTAACTGAGAGGTGTGTGTGTGTGGATCTGGGGAGTGGAGTGCTATGGTTGAGATCCTGATGTCTTCCCTTTGTTGCCAAGACACCTATTTTTACTGTGTTTAGAGTTTCAGCTGGAGTTTTGGGAAGGAGAGGAGAGGGTTTCTGTTTCCCACCCCTCAAAAATGTGTCATCTTTGCTGCATTGTTAGTCAGGTGGGAAGCAGCAGGCTGTATTTTGTCAAGTTAACAGCATATTACTATAACTTAGCAATTTCTGCACGTGTGGCAGGTTTTTAATAAGGTGATGATGTATCAAACAGGATTTGTCACTGAGCCTTAAAATAAACATCGTAGTTCTTACAATAAAAAGTGGTAAATCAATAGCAGGATTTGTTTCCTATGTATGTAATTGTATCAGTGTGTATGTTGAAATAGCTGGAAAATTTGCTTAAGCTGGGGGAAGATCTCTTGCCAGCCTGCTAACAGCATGTGAGCTCTCTGCTGCTGTGACTTTACCTGTTTTGGCAAAACTTCAGAGGTATGGGTAGAAGTGTGGAAGTGCAGCAGCTCTCCTGGAGCCAGGCGTGGTATAGCTGCACGTTGTGTAAGCTTAATTATATAGCTTTGACACCACATCTTCATCTGAATCAACAGCTTCTGCTCACCAGCCCTGTTCCTTGGCAGAAGGGAGAAAGAAAAGCTGCTCTCACAGCCAAAAGCCTGTTTTTCCATCAGCTGTGGCTTTATACTGGGGGGGTAGGGAGGATGGTGGGGGTGGGATGGGACACACATTTCTAGTTCACACCCTAAATGGAATTTGAAGAGTCTTCTGGGAGAAAATACCTGTGTGCCTGTTGCACCACTTCCCTCTTCTGTAACCTCCCTGTGGACACCCAGCCGTGCTGAGGAGGTTACTGTTGATACAAGGAGTCATCTTGTGCTGCTGCACAATCAAACAGTGTAGCCTTGGACTGCAGGTTGTGGTGAAAAACCAAAGAGTGAGGACAGTGAGCAGGAAGTGTACTGTTGTATTGACTGGGGTGATGAGTTATGTAAACAGACCTTGCTTCAGGGCATGGAGGTTGTTAAAACTTGATCTCAAACTTTCAAATCAGTCTTGGATCTCCAGAAAGGGTGCATGGGGTTTGTACAACTTCCTTCTGTAAGCTCCTTGCCCTGGTGCTCCTGAATCAACCTTTGGACTCTGGTTGCTGCTTTTGGCAGGCCTGAGTGTGGGCTGGTAGCCCTCTTTGCTCAAATTTTACCCCTATGCTGAAGATACTTTGTTTTAGGCTGCTTCATCCTTAGATTCTTATTTTAATGAAAGTATTTCGTACCCTCATTGATCACCATCAAAAGCAGATCTGTTCTAACAAAGTACATGAATACTGTCTCAGTTTTTCAGGCAGGTGGTTCTGTAATGCCCTGTGCCATTTACAAGGCTGGGAGAGATAAAAATGTAGAGCTGTATCATGCACTCAGGGCAGCAGGACATTTTTAATCCTGGAAAGATGCTCAAAATGTGTCATGGTGAGGATGAGGCATGTGGAGATCCAGAGTATAGACATCAGCTGTAGAAATGAAGATTTCCTGCCTCTGGTTGGGAAAACAGAGACAAGTTACTCAAGGAGATGGACAAGGCCTTGCTTAAATTTTAAGAGAAAATTGGCTTTTCTGTCTGCTGTTTGCCTGTCTGACATCAGTCTGCTGAAGAATTCAAACCCTCAGTGGACAGAAATGGCTTTGCTACAGGTATGAAAAGATGTACTTTAAATGCTGTTCATGAGAATTAAACTTGAAGAAATGGTTTCAACTCCTGGTTACAGTAACTTTAAAGAACATTCTGCCAAAAATAGACATTTATTGAGGATTACGTTGGTGGTGGTGGTTGATTCATATTAATGGTCTTTTTGTTGCCTTGAGACATGAACTGTGATGTTGACTAAGTGCAAAGTAAAAAAAGGTTCTTCCCCCTGCAGCCTTTAGATGTTCAAATGGATGAGAAGTCAGATAAATGAACCAAATTCCAGCAGCTTCTTGACATCATCCTCACTGAAAGGTTTCAAGAGAGGCTTTTTCCTGGACTCAATGCTAATAAAAAACTGTCTTTCTTGGCTCATGTGTATAGTCTGGAATTTTGTACAGAGACAAAATTATTTAACAACAGAAGTCATGGTTGCTTGTAGTTTTTCACACATTCCTGGGCCACTTCTGAGAATAAAGCCTGAGAGAGCAAGAAATTGCTGTGACCTTTGTGAATACCAGATGCTCTTCCTGAAAAAGAAAAATTAAAACACTTCTTAGGTTCTTATTCCACAGACATAAATAGTATATGATAAATGATTAAGAAAACCTGAATGGGATTTTAAAGTTTGCTGGAAATTTTAATATATTTTAAAGTCTTTTGAAAACAAAAGAACCAGTATTTCCATTTTTTTCTGTGATCTGATGAAAACCTGTTGCTGCTGGAATGTCACGTTTCATTCAGTTAAAGAACTCTTATTTTTATCTTATGCTGAATTTTGGAAACACCTTTAACATCAACTCAAAATTTGGAATGCCAAAGTGAAGTACCTGTCTCTTTATGCTGGAGTCAACCCTGGGGTCAAAATGTGAATAACATTTAGGTGGCAAAAGACATAAATGCAGAATGTTTTCAGTGGTGTGTCCATGAGCAGGATGGGTGCCTAAACTCCCAAACAGCAACAGAAGAGTTACCTAAGCCTTGGGTCCTGAAATAGCAATGCTCTGAGTCATTTAGAGGGCTTTGGAACCAGGATCTAACCCCCTGGAAACTGCTCCTGATTTCATCAATGTGAAATTTGAAATCTATCTGTTGTCTCATATGCCTAAGGTGGTTTTGTCACTTCTCATTTAGTTCTAGTTTGTCTCCATGTGTTGTGCCCCAAATCTTGAAGGGGGGGAAAAAAATATCAGTAGTGATGAAACATACTGTTTTTTTTTCCATTTCACTTTATTAATGTTCCTTATTTTTATTGAGTTAGGGTTCTTTTGGCAGTAATTACCTGCAGACATGTCTTTTAATGGCTATCCCAGTTAATGAAAGCTAATGGTCTTTAATGAATAAAATGCAAACGAAGGTTTAAATCGGTGCCTTAAATCAAGGTTTCTGTCTGATGGTTTAAATTCTGGTTGGATTCAGTGACTGAGAGGTGTCAAAGTGAACAGACTGATGGCACTGACTGAACGTGCATCTGGAGGGGGGTTGGCTCAGGACTCTGTTTCTGCTTGCTTCATAAAATTAAAAGGTAGGTGGAGTTTTTTGCTGTTTTTTGGTGTGGGTTGTTTTTTTCTCCAGGGAAGCAGTGGATCTCAGACACAAAACTGTGATCTGTTGAAACAAGTAATTGAAGGTAGCTGCTGATCATGTCAGAGTGCTGAAGAATTATTTGTTATGGGGAAGAAATCTCCTTTGGCCTGTGAACTAAATTTCAGTAACAGTATGCTAATAGCTACATGAATATTTTTTTATAATGTGATTAGTGTTCCAAACATTGTACATCATGAGGCATCCAGTAATGGGAAAACTTGGAATAATAATGATACTGAATCATGTAAAATAGTTGCACAAAAAGAGTATAAACACAGGGGGCAAATAACTCTGATAAGGATTTCTTTGGTGTTAAAAACTCTCATGCATTGAAATTGGGAATTACTAAACTCCTTGGTTTAAGACTGTCCTGAAGGCCCTGAGAGGTGGCAGAAGGGTCTCACACAGCTTTACACAGGGATGTGTGCTCTGGAATAGTGTTTCAGCACTGGAGCATCCATTAGTTCTCACTTGGTGCCAAGCCTGAAATTTTGCAGTTCAGGAAA